ATTGCCAAATTCCTATGGAGTCGAAGATTACCTCCAAGCCCTAGGTCTCTTCCGATCATCGGCCATCTTCACCTCATCAAGAAGAATCCTTTACCACAAGCTCTGCATTTCCTCTCTTCTACGGCCCGGTTCTCTTCCTCAAATTCGGGTTCCGTGCTGTTTTAACCCTCTCTTCTCCAGAATCCATCGAAGAATGCTTCACTAATCACGACCAAACACTCGCGAATCGACCCAGGAGCTACGGCTACAAAAACTTCGGGTTAGCTCCTTACGGCGATATCTGGCGAACTCTCCGTCGTCTCTCTACCCTCGAGGTATTCTCCTCCTCCAGCGTCCAGAAGAGCTCTTTCATCCGAAACGAAGAAGTCTCAAATCTCTGTTCCATTCTCTTCAGATTGTCCTGTGACTCTCGGAAAGTGGATCTCAAGTATCAGTTCACTCTTCTCACTGCTCACGTCATGCTCAGGTTAGTATCAGGGAATTGTGGCGTCGAAGAAAGAGATCCGGAATCAGAGAAGATGTTCTTGGAAGATTTCAAATCGAGGTTTTTCGCCAGCATCTCCATGAACGTCTGTAATTATTTCCCAGTGTTGAGGTGGATTGGGTATAAAGGTATTGAGAAGAGAGTGATAGAGATGCAGAGGAGGAGGGATGAGTATCTTCAGCGACATGTCGATAAAGTTCGAACGAAGAAATTTGATTCCTCTGGTTCAGTAGTGGAGAAATTCTTGCGACTTCAAGAAACAGAACCAGAGTTCTACTCGGATGCTGTCATCAAAGGAATTGTAGTGCTAATGTTCAATGCCGGAACTGATACTTCACCTGTGGCAATGGAATGGGCAATGTCGGTTTTACTGAATCATCCCGATAAGCTTGAGAAGGTCAGAGAAGAAATCAAATGTAATGTTAAGCACAAAGGAATTATACAAGACTCGGATCTCTCGAGCTTACCTTACCTTCGGTGTGTCATCTTTGAGACGCTTAGGCTATACCCTGCAGCTCCACTCTTGCTTCCTCACTGCTCTTCAAAGAAATTCAACTTAGGCAGCTACGAGATTCCGGAAAACACAATGTTATTGGTGAATGCTTGGGCTGTTCATAGGGACAGTGAGTTTTGGGAAGACGCGGATGTTTTCAAGCCGGAGAGATTTGAAGGGTTTGTTGGCGATAGAGATGGTTTCAGGTTTTTGCCCTTTGGAGTTGGGAGGAGGGCGTGTCCTGCCGCTGGACTTGGAATGCGTATAGTGACGCTTGCTGTTGGAGCGTTAGTTCAGTGTTTTGAGTGGAAGAAGGTAGAAGAAGAGGATATAGACATGAGGCCTGTGTTTGGTGGTGTGTCAATGGCTAAGGCTGTCCCGCTTGTTGCATTGCCTAACCCATGGCCTGAAATGGTTCCTATCTTGTCTCAGCTCTAGTGTTATTTGTGTTGGCTGAGAGACTGTTCATTTAGACGATGCTTTTATAAGTACAAGTCGATAATAAGGAGGGTGAATGATCATAAATCACAAATGCTTACCTAACTAGTGGAACCAAAATATTTGTTTTTCCTTTTTCATTCTTTCTTAGAGCTAACCTGCAAGAAGCAGAAAAATGATCTTAATTAGGGGGTTTTCGGTTATGAATTAGCTATAGACCATGAAGGGGATTCTCTCACCTTCCACTAGATGGAGACATATGTAGAAGGATCATTACTGTTGCTTCTACATTCTTTGAATCCTTAAATGACCACAACAATTGTGTGATGTAACAAACAAAAACAGAAGTCCCACTGAACTGAATCAGAAGCAAGCAAATTTAGATAGCAAATGTTCAACGTTGAACAAAAAATCTCTGATGCAACTATCAGCGGATAAAGCCTTTTAGCAATGGATTTTTTTTTTTTATATACATGAGAAAGCAAAAGAAGAACCCACAAAGTAGAGAATCATGCATCATTAATGATGGTAATGTTGTCCCTTGAGAATAGTCCATGACCTGAAAACAGAAAACCCATTACAGCATATATGAAACCGTAACTGGAATGCATAAACAGAGGCAACAATGGTTTCACCTGTAAAGCTGCTCCATTAATACCACAAGAGCTATCTGATGATTCAGGACCATGGAGGAAAGTCTGATGGTCACATTAGCTCGCTTCCTCACTTGGCTTCCATGTCCATAAGCCCCACCTATACAAAATGATATCCTCGAAGCTCCCTGAAAACAGAGAAAGCAACATAAAAGACAAAAACAAACATCTCTTAGTGGAACATACTCTCATACACTTGTAAAGATACTTATCTTCAAGATGAGATTAGCTTCAAACCCGACAATTCATGACATACAATCAATTTGATTACTTTCCAAGAAGACTACGGATGATGTAAGAAGAAAGATAAGCTTACACTATTTCCTGCATCCCCTAGTAACTCAGCCATCTGCTCTGAATCAATGTCACGGCCTCTCTCGTCAAGCACCACAACCTAAAAATTTCACAATCAGACCCATCTAGAATGAGTTCAATCACATTGACTGCTAACATATGAATCTAAAGAGCTTATTAATAATAATACCCAATCATCAGACCCAATAAGCTTCATCATAGCCACCTCTTCATCCTCAACCTGAGCTCTAACATCCCTGTGAATAAACACTATTGATTTCAGAGAAAGCAACCAAAATACTCAATTTGATGGATCCAACCTGCCTTGAAAGTGTCAAAATTGAGGCAAAACGTACTGAGCATTTCGAGGATTGGACCGAACCAATGAATCTTCAAAGGAGCAATAAGGTTTAAGCTTGATCTTGTACTCATCGACCAAGAGTCGAACACCTTCTGATCTCTTTTTCCCTACTGTGATTACACGTATAGGAAGAGCTCTCTGTGAACCAAATTACCAATTCCATCAAACCCTAAAACCCCCAAAATCTAATCAATTCGTTAGAAGCTCGAGCAGAGAGGAGTTTTTACCACTGCTTGACCAGTGAATCTACATGTTCTTCCTGATAAAAATCACGAATCAGATGATGATAATCTATACACCATTAACACAATCTTCACCAATGCAACAAGAATCGAAACCAGTTATTGGAAAAAGAAAGAAAAGGAAACCTTTTTCTTGAGGAGAAGGTGAAGCAGATGCATAGAGCTGCTTCAGGTGAGAAGTAGCCATGAAAGAGATGGCCATTTTTTTAGTTCTTCGATTTTCACGACGATGTTGAACTTAACACTCGACTAATCCACGTGAGATTCGAAGCCTCTGTATGATATCGAGGGTTTCAAGCCCATCGCTTTTAAAANAANAAAAAAAAAAAATTGATGGGCCTAAGTACATGAGTTAGATAATTTCATTTTATTTTTGTCGATTTAATAAAATTTTGGATAATTTTTTTTAAAATTGTTATGATTTGTTATTAAACTGTCTGAATTTCTTTTTAAAAAAGAAAAATAATAGTACTTTACAAATCACTAATTCTATAACACTATATTTTAAAATTTTAAACATACTAGCAGATATACTGGTTTTTTTGCTCCATTTTGGATCAACAGCTATCGTAACTCACCTTACGGATATAATGGATGCATTTGTGAGGACATTTGAGACTATAAAACGTTTCGTGCACAACCAAGATATTTCCATGGTGTCGATGATTATTTTCTCCTTCATGGGTGCAACACTGAACGCATTGATTGTTTTTCCTTCTGAGTTTCGTGAAACATGTGGAGATGTCTCTCCAATGGTAGTAGTCGCATGATTGTCTGTGTAGGCCTTAATATGTATGTTATACATTACACACCAGGTGATCCTCTAGAAGTTAGGGTGGAACGAAATTATCATATAAGTGTTAGAAAAGCCGTAGTTAAAGCTTTTGTACTCGCAACTTTCATAGCATTAAGCGCTTCACTGAAAAGTCGAAATGAATTTTGGACAGTAACTCTGTGTTTCTCGGTTTTCAATAGTCTAGTTAGTCTGATGATCATATTTACGGGTTAGGCAAGACTATGAACTCACTATTGGGGTTTTAGCTGCCTCATATGGCTTATTTTATGAAATATCGAGAGCATATGTTTTATACTTGATCATTGTTACTGCAATTTTAGCAGCATTTAAAAGCCTAGTTATGGAGGGTCGGTCTAACTCCTTAAGGACTTGTGTCTTAGGAGCATGTGACTTTGGATGTTAGGATGTTAGAGCTAGAAAATTTGGAGGATAGAATTTTGGATTGAAGAGATTTGAGAGTTGGAACTTAGGGGTTAAAGGAAGAATTCACTTATTGGATTCATGACATTTGGGACAAAGGACTTAGGGGTTAGAAGAAGAAGTCACTTGTTGGATTTAGAATATTTGGTAAGTGTTGATTTTCAGTTTAGTCAAGAGGAGGAGGATTCTAGTTCACAGAAAAATTCTTTATGATTGTGATCGTTCTAGTTGCCAGTTCCAAATAGGTCAATTGACACGTCCTTTCATCAACTTGCACGTTTGGTATCGAGGATTCTCCAACGTTTTCTAGACATGGCTAGACCTCATGCAATTTGTAGGTGGTTTAGAAGTCTTGTCGTTGCACTTATGTTATTTTTGAGGATTTGCTATATTCAAGGATACCACGTCATCTCTATATATCTACTTTATGAATCTTTTGGTCGAGTTCACGTACTTTCTTGTCCAATTTATTAGAGATTTTGACTTCTTCACATGTGTTTTTCGCAGACTTACTGAACTTATATTGTGGTATTGTCATAAAATGCAAGCCTTTCAAAATTGACATGAAACAAAAATAAAAATTTACTTTATGAAGATGAAAAAATTAAATTAAATTTGTTTTTCTCTAAAACCACCACCAATATCTAACACTCTTAAAAAGTTGAACTAAGAAAAACAGTTCATGTTTTACCCGAAGAGGGCCGTGCCACAATACAAAAATTATAAACATTCGCTTAGGGCATCAATTTTTTTTTGAAAATAAAGGC